TTGTAAGAGTTCTTTATATATTATAGATAACAGGTCCTTATCAGATATGTGATTTGCAAATATTTTCTCCCATACTGTGGGTTATCTTTTCACTTTCTTGATACTGTCCTTTGATGCACATAGGACAGTTTTTAATTTTATGAATCAATTTATCTAGTTTTTCTTTTGTTGCTTGTGCTTTTGGTGTCATGTTAAGAAACCATTACCTAACCTAACGTCAAAGAATTCTATGAAAAGAGTTTTATTGTTTCAGCTCTTACATTTAGATCTAAGATCCATTTTAAGTTAATTTTTGTATCTGCTGTAAGGCAGATGTCCAAATTCATTCTTCTGCATGTGGATATCCAGTTGTCCCAGCACTGTTTGTTGAAAAGACTATTCTTTTGCCATTGCATTATTTTGACACCCTTGCTGAAAATCAGTTGACCATAGATGCATGGGCTTATTTCTGGACTCTTAATTCGATTCCTTTGATCTATATGTCTATCCTTATGCCAGTACCACACTATCTTGATTACTATAGCTTTGTAATGAAGTTTGAAATTGGGAAGTGTAGTCTGAATTTTTTTATTTTTTAAAAAAGATTGTTTTGGCTACCTGAGTCCCTTGCATTTCCGTATGAATTATAGGGGCGGCTTGTCAATTTCTTCAAGAAAGAAAAAAGCAGTTTTGGAATTTTGATAGGGATTGTGCTGAATCCGTAGATCAATATGGGGAGTACTACCACCATACCAATATTAACTCTTTAACTCCAACAACACAGAATGTGTTTCCATTTATTTAGGTCTCCTTTAATTTCTTTTAATGTTTTATAGTCTACAAATACCTATTTGTATTTTGTAGTATATGAATATGAATAGGTATTGGTATACTACAAAATAAGTACTGTAATATATAATATTCCACTTTTGCTTTTAAAACTTCCAACATATAAATATTAGATCTCCTGGGTCTATTTTTAATATCTCTAAAATTTCCTTTCACAATTTCTATTTCTTTATCTTTTAGTGCTGCACTCTGGAAGGACTCTTTGATATGGTCTTATAATTCACTAAATCAGTTTTCAGCAGCATCTATTTTTCTGTATACTTCTATAATCTTTTCAACTTAAATATTCATCTATTTTTTAATATCCAAGAACATTCTGGTTCTCAGATGCTCCATTTTCACGACCTGCCCTTGTCGCTCTTTAAGTTTCAGTTAAGAACATGAACAGGATTTTTAAAAAAAGTTTTCTCCTATTTCCTGCATTAATTCCATTTTAGTGAGTGATAGCTGCTGTAATTTGGTCCTCTTCTTTCAAATGGTGGATCTTCTCTTTAGGATTAGTGATATTTTTTATCTGCTCATATTTATAAGTGGAGATCTAGATCATTCAGCATCGATAACTGACATCCCATCTGGAACTGGAGAGACCACTGTTCAAGTCCCCATAGTGAGTCTTACCCTCTGAGGATGATGGTGGCAGGGTGGAGATTGGTATTCAGTAGTGAAACCAGTGAATTGGCTTTGAGTAGGAAAATAGTATCTCCCTTCCTCATAGAAGATAATGGTTATGATGGTACACAGGATGCTGAGCCACCAAGTCTCAAACCTTAAGCTGAGAGAGAAAGGAACAGGGTGAGGAAGCAAAGAAATCAATTATTTGAAACTATGCCCAGGAAAGAACTTTACATGGGACTACTGGCACACAGAACTCAATGGAAGCAAATAAATATGAAGTCTACTAAGTGTATGAGGGAATTGTATGGCCGAATCTCAAACCCAATTTAAAAAAAACTAACTGTAAATGAACTCTCAGGACCCCGAACTTGAACCAACAGGAAATGGGCTGTGAAAACTGTGAAATCTCCCAATAACCACTTCAGATGTGGCCATAGAGGAAAATGAACAAGGAAGAGACTTCCAGAGTGTTGAGCCAAGGGTCACAGAAATTAATGCAAAAGGGTATTCATTCTTGAGAGCAGAACCAGGATGTAATCATAGAACTTCCCCCATCACTGAGACGGAGGATCTTCCCAATAATCACTCAGAAGGATTCCATCATTTATATGGACCCTGACTGCTCTGAGTCATATTTTTCACTGAACTTGGTTCTAATGCAGTGTATCTGTGAGAAGCATTTGGGAATCATTGTTATGGAGAAGAGGAGGGATTCGCAGTAGTCGTCTAGGCACTATGCATTGCCTCAATCCGCACAGCTACTCCCTGAGGTATGTGCTATCATGATGCTACTCTACAAATGGGGACACTGAGATGGAGTCCAGTAACTTGGTCAAGGTTATATAATAGGTAAGTCTTGGAGCCAGGATTCAAAACTATGGGGCCTAACTCCGAAGTGTTTACACTTAATTCTGTCACATTTTATAATCACAGAAGTCTATTGGGCATGATGAGGGATACATAAACGTCAAAAAGGAGACAAGACATATACACAAATAAATTCAAGGCAAGGGAGTTTGTTATCTAATGAATGAGACACTGAAACGTTTTCAGACTACCAGAACATAGATAGATTACCATCACTAACTTTTTTTTTTTTTTTTTTTTTTGCGGTACACGGGCCTCTCACTGCTGTGGCCTCTCCTGTTGCGGAGCACAGGCTCCGGACGCGCAGGCTCCAGACGCGCAGGCTCAGCGGCCATGGCTTACGGGCCCAGCCGCTCAGCGGCATGTGGGATCTTCCCAGACAGGGGCACGAACCCATGTCCCCTGCACCGGCAGGCAGACTCTCAACCACTGCGCCACCAAGGAAGCCCCATCACTAACTTTTAACCTTGTTAGGGACTTGTTTTGTTTACTGATGAATCACCAGTTCTCACTTCGCCATCTGGCTCACAGTAGGTGCTCAATAAATATTTGTTGAATGAATACCAGAGTTCTGTAATATTAGTCTAAGGTCCTTGAGCAACTGTGCCAAATTTACCTTCACATCTTCAGAGTCTACTGTGTTTGGCGCTCAATGAATGGTCCTTGAACTAAACTAACAGAAAACTGCACTGTGGTTTTATGTAAAGGCTGCTCATTGTTCCCAGTTCCCTTTTCTTTAAAATGGAAGGTGTTCCCCTCCTCAACTCTACAGACCGTGTGGCAGACTGGGTTTTTCAAAAGATTCTCACACGCTTTAACCTCTCATGAACTAAGTTTTTATTCATGGAGGTGAACTTGAAATCTCAAGTTTCTACTTACTATCTTTTGCACATGTATGACTGGTTTTCCAGTTGAATTTGACATTTGATTCCTTTTGGATACCTGAGCTATACTCTTAATCAGCTGCACCTTTCTGTGTTGTAGTTATTTAAAAACCACATTGACCTCATTCAGTAAGTCTCTATTGTGTGCAAGATCCAGGACTGTGGCAATACAGCCATGACTGAGAAAGACATGGTTCCTGCCCTCGTGGCACATAAAAGTGTTCCTATGTGTTTTAAAAGACTGGACAATAGGGATTCAATTGTAAAACAAAGCAAAAACCATTTCTGCTCCTTATCCCCATAAGGAACAAAACGTAAAAAAAAAAAGATGGCAGTTGGGCATGAGTTCCCAGTGGAGGAGGGAGAGAAGACAATCCAGATCACAAACAAATCGCTTACTTTTTGCAAGTCACAACTGAACTATGCCTTGAGTTATCTTCTGGTGATTCCGGACTTCCAGTCAGAGTCAATTCCGTCTGTATTGACCAAAAGAGAAACAGGGAGGAAAAAAATGCATTTCGGTTCTTAAAAAAAAAAAAGAGCAACACAAGCAAACAAAACCCACTGACTTAGGGATCATATGAGATCTACTTTAATTGAAGTCGTCTTTAAACGATAATTGACAATGATACCGAAACAACAGACTGAAAACCAACCTGCTCGGGGCCGGGCACGGCGTAGCATCCCCACTGCCAGGAACCAGCTGACCAGGGTCTATACGGGCCCCAAAGGCACTACAAATTGATCAACTTTTCTTAACCTAGACTCTTCCACCACATCCAGCATGGACCTGCTTCTTCCAGGGTGTGGGCCATCAGTAAAGGAGTCTAGTCGCCCATCTCTGGCAACAACGACAGTTTAAAAAAAAATGGAGCTACAGCTCTAATAACAAAACCCACCAGCTGTGAAAAGTGGAGATACATTTGTCACTATCGGGCCTCAGCATCTCTGGAGAACGTTTGCTCCCGCCGCGCCCGTCAAGGCCCTGGGCCCGCGGTTAGTGGCTGCTCTGCGGGCGGAAGAGCCTTCTCGTCCCGGCAGGCTCGGGGCGAGCCACCGCGAGCAGGCAGCCTCCGTGAGCGCCCGGCCGGGGTCGGCGGGCCGGAGGGCGTGCTCGTTCAGGAGGCGCCCAGGCGGTTCTGGCCGGAGCTCCCGGGTCGGTTTGGTTTTGTCCCCATCCTGCCCCCGCCCCCCCCCACTCCCCTTCATGCAAAGGCCAAGGGGTTTTGACCCACCATCGCCCAGACCGAGTTCACGCTTAGGGCCCTTTCGCCGCCGTCCAGAGGACAGAGAAAGCAATCGCGCAATGAGGCGAGAGCACTCTGAATAAAGGTGGAGTCGGCGAGAAAATCATTTTTCTTCTTGGCTGAGCGCGTCAGCCGCCCCGGGGGGCAGGCCTCCTTCCCAGAAGACCCCCTCCACACACCCGCTCCCTCCACGCCCCTCAGTGGCCACACGCATCACTGGTGCCGCGGAGTTTGGAAATGGAGGCGCGAGCACACTGGGCTGCGGGCTCCACACGGGGTGGGGGCGTTCCCGGAGGGTGAGCAGGGAACCGTGCGCCCACTCCACTCCCGGAGGGCCAGGGAGCCCTGAAGGGCCCTCGCGGGCGCCGAGGCGGCGGAAGACCGAGAGGCGGGGCGGGGGGGGAGGGGGCGCGGGGGTCCCCGCCGGGGAGCTTCTGGGGAAGCGGGAGGGGCAGCACCTGAGGAATCCGCCTCCGGCCGCGGCGGCCGTCGCCTCGCTCCGCCCCGGGGAACTGAGCGCGCGGCCAGCTTGCCTGCCAGAGAGACGCCAGCCACCGGCGGCGCTAGCACCTCGGAGGAGGGCGGCGGAGCGAGCGGAGCGCGGCGCTGCGACCCGGACTGGGGGTGGGGAGACGAGCCCCGCCGAGGCGAGGGCCACCCCCGGTCCTCTGCCCTCGCGCGCTGCCAGGGCCAGGTGAGCGGCTGCGGGGACTCTGGGCGCGGGGAGGCGGGGAGGTGAGAGGTCGCCCGCCGGGCGCGAGTGCACGCCTCTGCCCGGCAGGGGCTGCCCTTTGGCGGGCTGTGGACACCCTGCCTGCGCGGGGAGGCGCAGCGGCTGACTTTTTCTGGAGGGATCGGAAGGCGGAGCGGGGGTGTGAGCGCCGGTGCGTTTGTGTGGCGAGGGCGGGCGCCCGTGCCAGCCCCGGACCCGAACCCTCGCGTCAGCCGCCTGAGGAGACCCAGCCCGTGCGGTCCGCGCCCGGAGGCCAAAGGCCTGTCACCCCGGCTCTCGGCGCCGCCTTTGTGGCGGGAGCGAGCGAGCCCGAGAGGGGGCTGAGGGAGGCAGCGGCGCGGCGGGGAGCGCCCGGGACCGGCTCCCCCAGCCCGAGGGCTGCTGAGGGGGGTGGCCTGGGCGGGGGGACGGTGGGTAGGGAGGCGCGGAGGTGACGCGGGAGGATGGAGAGAGCTCAGAAGGGCAAAGTTGAGAGCGTCCAGCGGTGGCTGGGCGTTTGCTCAGGGTCCCTGGGCTGCTTTGCTCCACACCAAATGTCACTTGGTCACGAGCGCGCGCGCGTGTCTTCCGGCCATCATTTCCCTTTTTCGTGAGTGAGTGAGGACGACCACTCTTGTGCTGAATGAGACACAAAGGGTTGTGTTGACAGCTGACCCTGACACGAGTAGACAGCGAGGTGCGGTGTGTGCCCTGGCCGGGGAGGGTGATGAAGAGGCGGCTTGTTAGTCAATTCCCTCAGTCCCTCTTCCGAGCTCCGTGAAAAGAAGCGATAGGTACAGATGCAGTTCGCGGGGCTTCTCAGTTAAACGGAGCCCAAGTCGGGTCCAGAACCCGATTCATCTGCGCGGGGACAGCTGCTGCCTCCCGCAGAGGCGACGGAGCCCGGATCCCGGAGAAACTCCTCGATCCTCTCCTTTCCTCAAGGAACGTGACTGTTTCAAGGTCCTTATCCCCACCGCGGCCTTCTGTCTCCTGTTGAAAAGATAGAAACCACATTTTAATTTCTGTTTTTCACCCCTTAAGAGTCCCCTCTCCACCTCGCCCTTGAGGTGGGAAAACCCGCTTAAGTCTCATGTTAAAATCTAGCCATTTAAATATGGGGAAGAGCTTGTCCGAAAAAGGTTTTTGAATTAAATGCCGCCCTTAGAAACCTCTCTTTCCTCTGAACATTAAAAAACAAAAAACAAAAAACAAAAACTTTAAATCCTGGAATTCTCTTTGAGTTTTGTGACTGTGTTGCTTCCTTTTCTTTCAGAATATTTCTATGTAGTTTTACAAATTGCAATACTGAAAACTTAAAATGGAGAAAAAATTTAAATTGTTTTATTAAAAATACTACTAGAATTACGTGCGTGTAGGCACGTGTTTAAAGGGCAAGTTTTAATTAATGAATATCGGAAAGTTATATGCATAGGGTAGAAATTGCAAACAGCAGTGTAAAGTACGCCCTCTGTCTCAGAGACCCGTACTCCCAATGCCCTAGTCCTCCTCCCCAGAGGCAACCACTCTCCTCAGTTGTATATCCTTCCATAAGCCTTCTATTAGAATGGAATTACATTGTGGAAATAGAGGATGAAGGGAACTTAATATGTAAGACTGAACTGTGTCTCAGTGGTGATGGCTCTTAATTTGATATCCACTCCTGATGATATTAGGTCCTTTTATTTAGCCTAAGGCACTTATCAGAGTGCTTAAAAATCTTAGAACAAGTATTCAGTGCAAAGCAGAACTATTAAACTGTTATCTCCCCCCTCCCTCCATCACCAGTTTCTCTACACTTGGTTTTTTGTAACCTTTGTTGGGTTTTTCTTCCATTTTGGAGCTCTTTAGGAAGTAGAGAATGAGAACTGTAGTTTATTCTATCCAGTGCAGTGCACATCTGAAGACATTGAAAGGATGTATGAATACTCCCATTGACATGAGATAATATAAAAATTTCAATGGTATGAGAGAAATACGGAGGCCGAGTTTAAGACATTTGGTCACATCTCTTAGTTCCAGGCCCGAATTTGCCATAAACTAGCTAAATGAAGTAACTTTCTAAGAAATGCTTTTGTTTCCATCCCCAGTTAAATAAAGGAATTGAACCATGTGGCTTCTGAGTGTCCTTCCGACTCCAAAATCCTGTGATTTTTGGTAAAATGGTAGTTCTGTAGGTGTCCTAAGATTGGCTAAGGATGAACCAGTTGGATCTGTGGGTATTAGACAGTGGAGTGACAAAGAAAAAAAAAATCCTAAATGGTAGATTCATAAAGAGGAAGTCAGAGATATTTAAACAACATTTCTGCTCTTATGAGATTGATATCATTGGAGAACAGCTACTTTACTTTCCCACAAAATGTCTGTTTATGTTACTGATAGAGGCCAAACCCTGAATGGCCCTCTGCATCACCTTGTATGGCTAAGGAGAGTGAATTTTCTTCACAGCTCACGGTGCCATTTTTAGGGAAATTATTTTTACCAAACTCTTACTTTTCTTTTTGGTAATGTGGAAATAAAGTTCATTGACCTACTTCAAAGAGACTTTACATAATTTAATTAGTGATTCTACAAGTATTTAGAAAATGAATAATCCTTATAGCTAAGCTATTTTAGTTACTTTATAAGTATTCACTTAGCGATCATGTTCTTAGCAGGAAACGTTTCTAATCTCTAAAACACCTGAAACTAATGATTCCTGGATGGGTGCTGAGAGCTGAGGAGTGATTTCAAGGTTAGGAAAGTAAAAAGAATTAGGTGATTTTAATCACTATATATGATCTCAGTGAAGGGATTTCAAACTTATACCGTAAGTGGTGGTTACAAAAATCATTCATGTTAAAGAAGGAGATCTCATACTTTGAAGATTCTGAGTCAATAATAAAGAATATTATGTAATTAGTTTGAATGTCAGTAATATAAATAAATTATAATGGAGTTTTAGGAATTGTTTGATTGGGGTGATAAGAAATATGAACTAAAACGGTAGATTTGTAAGGGTGCTTAGAGAAATCTTGATTGACAAATCTAACAAAAACAAAAGAAAATTAAGTACTAGTAATGAAGTTCTTCTAAAATGGAATAGTTTTTGTTTTTTGCATCTTCCTTCCTACCCTTACCATATGAATATGTATTTTTACAGATGTCTTAACATATTGCAGGCACATTTTTACTCTGATTTTTTTATAAACATTTTTCCATAATTTACTTTCTATTGTTTGCAATTAGTTTATTGTATCATGATTTACTTAACTCTTTCTCTATTTTATGATTTTCCAGTTTTTAAAAAAAATATAATGGCCACCCACATGAATGAGACTTTCTTATTCTTCTTCTTTAAAATTAAAAAAAAAAACGAACTTAGAATTATTTCCCTAGAGAAGCAGTATAGGTGAGCTCTAAAATTAAAGGTTCAGTGTCCAAACATAGCTCCATCACTTATGGGTAGTATTGGGCAAGTAACTTATTTTCTTAGAGTTTTCTAATCTGTAAAGTGGGTATAGTAATAGCTCTCTACAAGGTTAAGATAAAAAGCAGTAATGCATGAAAACACATGTAAATGTTAGCTCTGTTTTTAATTAGGAAATTTTTGTAATTTCAAAATTACTTTCCAGGAGGATTACGTAAATTACACACAACAACAATGCATGTGCTTATGTAATTTTATTTATGTAATTTTAAACATTTATATTATTGTGACTAATTTGATCAGTGTAAAATTGTATCCCTTTGTTTTGATTTGTATTTCTTTGGTCTTGTGTAAACTGAGAGTTAGTTTTCTCAGCAGTATTGCTACAGTTTTCTACTTGGAGTGGTGGAAATTTCATCACCTCCGTCATTTTGAACTAGACTATAAGACAGACAAATAGGACAGGTCAGTTACAACACTAATAAGTGAACCAAATTTTCCAATAGGTTCTTTCAGATTAGTTGTAGTTTTCTTGTATTCTCAGCCGATGGTAGTTTTTATTCATTATTATTATTTTTAATCTTAAAAATATAGCTGTTAAAATTAATAAATAACGTTATATATCAATTCTATTTAAGTGAAAATGCAATCTTCTCTTTTTTCCCTTGAAGGGCTGATTTATAATTAGCATTATTATGATCCAATTTAGTGGATTTTTGCTAGGAATGCTTCCTAAAACTTGGGGGAAAAAAATCAGAGAAAGTTTCATGATCGCTAATCATGTTATCTTTTGGCTACCAATGGATAATGAAGTTATATCCTCTAACTTGAGTTCTTATACAGTCAAGGTAATTTAGACTACACAAAAGCATGCTCTTGTAAGTTCTGGAGTTCCAGCAGCCCTGATATTTCTGGCAAACACACACCCAATGTGGATAACAGCAGCTCTTTGTGCTCCTGAGCCCCAGGAGGGCTTCCTATTGTGTACTCTTCCTTCCCTCCCATTCTTGACTGACTGGTGATAGCAACTCCTCCAAGTCCAGATGTGAAGCTCCCACAGGGACGCCTCTCTTCTACCCAGCTCTGTATTTATCTCCACCACCCACCCCTTCAGTGCCTTTGCTTTTGTCCTATGACATAGAGAATTCACTCTCTTTGCAAGGTTGTGGTTTCAGATTTTATTTTTAATTTATCGCTATGCTTTATGAGTGTCTTCAACAGTCCCTACAGTGGAAGCTATAGGCACAATTAGCATAGATTAACACATAATCAGCACTGGATAAATGTTTGTTGCTGTGAACCATATCTTGTATGGTCTTCTCTGTTCCTGGGCATGGTTCTATTTTTAAGGTAAAAATAAAAAGCAAGCTCTGGTTGTATGCTGGATTACTGTTTGCCTATATTACCAAGGTTAGGAATTAGGAAACATATTGTTATGGCCTTTTAACTTTTTCTGTGTTTAGAGGAGATTCTTAACTTTTGTGCCTTTCTTTTCTTCTGTAAAATGGGATTAACAATTAAAGTACTGCTCTAATTATCAACCTTCTGCACAGAATTGTTGTAAGATAAAATG